CCACTCCCTCCATTCCCTGAGGCGCTGAAGGACACAAGGAAGTTGGAGAATGATCGGGACATCTACGAGACCTTCGCCAATTGTGAGGTAAATATCCCACTCTTTAAACTAATCAAAAGTGTTCCCCGTTATGCAAAGTTTTTAAAAGAACTATGCACGATAAAAAGAAAGAATAAATTGAAAGGGAAACAAGAGGTCAAGGTTAGTGACCGTGTCTCGGCAATTTTCCAGAGGAAACTCCCGGAAAAATGCAACGATCCAGGCATGTTCACTATCCCATGCAAAATAGGGGACACTTTATTTCCTAGGGCCTTGTTAGATTTAGGGGCTTCAATCAATGTTATTCCATATTCATTATACAAGTCCCTAAAACTTGGCCCTATGCATGAAACCGGGGTGATAATCCAATTGGCGGATAGGTCTAGCATATACCCAAAGGGCGTCGTAGAGGACGTGCTAATAAAAGTTGAAAATTTGGTCTTCCCTGTCGACTTCTATATTCTTGAAATGGAAGCCGATAACCAAGCTACACCCATCCTTTTGGGAAGACCTTTCTTAAAAACGGCCCAAACAAAAATAGATGTGTCTAATGGTTCATTAACTTTAGAGTTTGATGACCAAAAAGTAGAATTTAACATCTTTGATTCTACAAAAAAACAAATAAAAAAACAATCCCTTTGTTCTCTAAATGTTTTTGAACCACAAACATCACCTATTTTTGTTGAAAAAGAAGCTGAGAAAACCTCACTTTTTGAAGAGGAAGAAAAAATTGAGCATAGGGTAGAGGAGATAACCAAGAAGAAATCACGGCTTTACTGGAAAAGGCCAAAGAGGAAGAATGAAACAAGGGATATTCACGATCCCACATAAAGCAAAAAATAAAAATAAAAATAAACGTCGTGCCACGACATTAAATAAGGCGCTTCTTGGGAGGCAACCCAAGTTTCTATTGTGTTTATTTACATTTTTTTTTTTGTGTGTGTGGGAAAACCTTTTCAAAAAAAAAAAATGGGCAGTACACCCGACCGGGTCCCTCATTTCACCCGGCCGGGTGTATTTGTTAAATGGCCCCTGGAACATCAAACTCGGTCGGGCGAGTAAGTTTTTACAAAACCCGGCCCCTGGAGTAAAGAACCCGACCGGGTGCAACAGACCACCCGACCTTGTCAACTGACAAAAAAACTCACTGCCTCCGGAGAACCTTTACACCCGACCGGGTCACATACACCACCCGACCGGGTCGTCGAATTTTGACCTCAAAACCAGACGGGCTCAATCGTCTTCATCCTTCTTCTTCCCCAAATCAAAAACCCTCTCCAATTCTTCTACCGTTAAACACCAAAAAAAAAACTCACCCCTCACTCAACCAAATCCATCAATTAACACCATATATATTTTTCCCTCCTCTTCATATTTTTTTACTCTTCACCCTCTACACTTCTATATCCACAAAACCAACCCAAAGCCACTCATTCACAAAAATCCGAAATTTCCATCTACCCCCCCCCCCCCCCAAAAAAAATGGACAGACACCAAAAAGAGCAAAGAGATTCATTCTTTTGGACATCTCGGACACAAGCACTAGGGACAGTGCTTTGATTAGCTTGGGGGGAGAGTTTCATGGAATACTCACATTTCATTCTTGTTCAAAAAAAAATTAATATAGCAAAAAAAAAAAAGAGCTTGTTAAGTTGAAAACCTGAAAAGGCAACTTAAGCAAAAATAAAGCAAAAATAAGAGTGAGTTGTGAGGATTAAAAAAAAACAAAAGAAAAAATTGGGAAGCTAGGATGAAAACCCGAAAGGGCACCTAGGCAAAATGAGAGAATGAGAGAAAGTATTTTCTTTTTGCAGGATCCTAAGGGTAACGGAAAAAAAAAAGAATTGAGGTTGATAGAAAATATGGAGTTTAAGACCCCTCTTTACTCTTATATTTTTGGGGATACTTTTGTATTGTTCTAAATACACACTTAGATGTTTGAGTTGATACTCTTGTCATTTAAGAACTTCTTGGACATGATTTGGTTTACTCGAGACGAGTAAAGGTTCAAGTGTGGGGGTGTTTGATATGCACTAATTAGTAGTGCATAAGTGTATGTTTTTATGTTTGATTTGTGTGGTTTGTTTACCGTTTTATTTAGTTTGTAAACATTTGTGTGATTTTAGTTGTAATTGTATTTTTAATCTTCATTTGTAAGTTGTAAAGTAGAGTTAGGAATTAGGGTGTTGAAAAGGAGGACTTTGAAGTGAAGAAAAATAAGATTTGGCTGCCCAGAAGCAAAAACCCGACCGGGTACAATACTTCACCCGGTCGGGCATGACAAAGAATCAGAAACTGCTGAGAAAGTCACTAGACCCGGGCGGGTCACTTATTTGACCCGGGCGGGTCAGATGTGACCCGGAACACCAGAACATGCCGAAGATCGCCAGAACGTGGGAAATATTTGATTTTGACATTTACCCGGTCGGGTGGGCACTTGACCCGGTCGGGTAAATGCCCCAGGGTGTTGAAAACACCTATAAATAGCCCCATTTTCCTTCACTTTTCATCATCCCTTCTTCCATACTCTTAAGCTCAGTTTAGAATAGTATTTCTTTTATATTTTTATAGCATCTTTAGTCTCCAAATGAGGAGCTAAACTTCCATTTCTTGGTGTTGCTCTTGAAGCTTGTTGATTATTAAAGTTGTGAGTTATTTTCTTAACTTCTTCCCTTGAATATTAATTATTCTCTTAATCTATCTATATATTAATGTTGGGGAGTGTTGCTAAGATGACAATTAGTTAACATCTCGACATTAGTTATAGTAGTATTTATTTTCTTCCTCTATATATTAATGTTGGGGAGTGTTGCTAAGATGACAATTAGATAACATCTTGACATTAGTTATAGTAGGATTATTCATATTTAATCTTCTTCCTTGAATATTAATTCTTCCCTTAATCTATCTCTATATTAATGTTGGAGAGTGTTGCTAAGATGACAATTAGTTAACATCTCGGCATTAATTACTACTAGAAACGATCAATGAACCGATGGTTAATCGTTGATGGTTTCACAAGTAAGTAACTTCGGTTTATTAATGCACGGTCGTGGTTAATAAACTTAAGAGAGATTAATTTTGTTGGTTAAACCGAAACCGTTGTGTTGAGGTTATCAATCTCAATTGATTTCATCAAGGAGTTAAGAGATTAAATGCTACTATTAAGTCGGTATATGGCGGTGTTCTATACATGACTAATAGTAAGGGTTATTAATGAACAGTCGTTGTTAATAACTACCCTCGATGAATTGGATATACTCCTCGATTGAGTATTCGAGAGGAGATAAGTTATAAATATAACAATGATCAACTAAAATATATCAACAAGTGGAAAGTAGCAATGCCAAGTCCTTTTTATCTTTGAATTAAATCACATTTAAATTGTTCATCTTTCTGTTTAATTAAATTAAATCATTCAATCCTAAACCCCCCTTTTATTTACTAGTTCTATATAAAAAGAGAATTATTCTTTTCCCTGTGGATACGAACTCTACTACGCTATACTACGTATAAGTGTTAGTATTGAATTTATTTTGAGTGCACTCACGACAAAGTGCACGTCAGGTCGCTTTCTTCCTCAGTTTGTACATGCAAGAGATTTTTAAGTGGCGTGTCACGTCTAGAGTTGCCTAGATGGTGTTATTCTCTGCCTTTTAAACACATTGTTTTTTATATTAAAATGAAATTCGATCCTCCCAAGTTTGAATGCTTTCAAACATATCTTGCTTCTTCGTATCTTCATTTTGGTTAATACAAATGGGCTCTTTAAAAAAAGGTTACCCGCACTTAGATTTGATATCCATTAGAGCGGTTATGATTTAGAAAAAATTATCTAATAATCTCAATGATAAAATAATTTATTGAGACGACTAGACGAGTATAGTTATATGCATAAGTAGTAGTGCATAACCGTCCCATATAGGGATGGCAACGGGGCGGATCGGGGACGGTTTTACATATAATCGTACCCGCCCCATTTGGTAATTCCCCCGCCCCATAACCGCCCCATTACCCAACGGGTAATTTTTACCTAAACTATAACCGCCCCATCGGGTAACGGGTATAACCGCGGGTAACCGCAGGTAATCACTTTACTAAATGAGTCATTGATATTTTAATAAAAAATAATATTTTTAAAATGCGAAAAATTACATCACCTAGACGACGCTAGACTCATACGCTACTTTATAGCTTCATATATCTATAAGACGAGAAAGAAGACAACCTAAATTAATTTGAACCTAAAAATACTTAATCTGAAAAATAATTAATCACGAAAAATCATATAATAATCAAACAAAACTACTAAGTTCTATTGAAAACTTTCATTCTTACACTATAGTTAGTACATCTATTATCCATATATACACAATGAACATTAAAAATCTCATCTTTTATTAGTCGTGGGACAAATAATAGATAAGAATGTAATAAAAATATAACTAAAAATAAACGGGGCGGGTAATGGGGCGGCATGCATAAAACCGTAACCGCCCTGTTACCCGTAAAAACAAAACGGGTATTCCCCGCCCCGTACCCATTACCCCGTCAATGCGGTTTTCCCCATTTTGACTGGGGCGGTTCGGTGCGGGTATCCATCGGATCGGTCACAATTGCCATCTCTAGTCCTATACCAATTGCCAACTCTATTGGCGAATCCCCAACCCGGGTCTCCATCACTCCAAAGTCCAAACCCCTTTTCATTGTTTTTTGCAACTCCGGTGATCTCTCGTCGTCTAAAGTGGCAAACAAAGCAATGCTTTCCACTCCACTAAAGTATGAAAAGATTAGTTTATAACCTATTGATCTGAGTTAAAGTGTTAATTAGTAAAACATTTATTACATAAAACGCTAGGAATAGAATAGTCAGGCCAGTAGGCCATTGCTGCTTTCGTGTCGAGTTAGTTACAAAATTGGGGCCTATAAAATTGGACACTGCACTCGACAAACTTTGATTTATAGACAGGTCATAATTCATATTTTTTGTTAGCGTAGATGATCTCGAGTTTGGCTGTGTTTGGTAATTGTCGTTTCCGCCACAAATCGGAGGGTTTGACCAATTTAGCTGTTTGAAAGACTGGAAACGCCGTTCTTTTTACGTTTGGTAAAGAGAGGTTTTGCTCAGCCTGTCCTCTCTTCTTCCTCTTCTTCTATTTTGTTTTCCGCTGCATATGTTGAAGGTCTGCTACCCTCTGAGTCACCGGAAGTTAGAACCTCTTTAGATGTTCTAAAACTCGCTATTGCTCTAGATTTTTGGTGTCTAATAAAGAATCACATCTGACTCTACTTGCATTTGATTGGAATTTTGTAGTCCAAACTACGACTAACCTACGCCGCATATGCTAATGCTAATTGTTGTTTGAGTTCTAGTAAATCATATGAAAGTCGGTTAGGAATAAAAATAAAACATATGATAAGGATTCAACAGAGATTGCTGACAGAGAGACGGTTCATGAAATTACTAGTTTTATTTGGACTCAAATGTTCCATTCATCAATTAGATTGATATGCTTTTGTATTGAGTTAATGTGTAAGTTGAACTTTTTACCAATTCCGTAGTAAGGATGTTTTTACTTGAACTGTAATTTGTCCCAGACCAGACCAGTCCAGACCAGACCAGTTCAGACCAGACCAGACCAGACCAGACTTGGATAGTTATACAAATACAAAGAAACCAGACCTTACCAGACCAAACCAGACCAGTTCAGACCAAACCAGACCAGACCAGCAAATTACAGTCCAAGTAAAAACATCCTAATACATCAATAGCATTATTAAAAAAATGAATATTAAAATTTATCCATGGCATGTCCTCATGTGTCTTTTTACCTGCTAACCGCTATAAACAAATAGCCAAGTTACCAAACATTTTTTTGCAACCCGCCAAATTAATCCGCTGGTCAAATCTGTTGACTCAATCCGCTATTTTCAATCCGTTAACAATATCCGCTAACAGCTAATTACCAAACATGGCCTTTGTCTGATTAATCTTGCATTTTTAAGGGCGTATTCAAAAGCACAAGTAGGATCTGATCAGGCCTTCTCCTCTAGATCTCACTCTGTATATAGTTATGAGGCACGGGGTATGATTGTTACAAATTTAGAAGGATTATTAGCTTGTTTTATCCCAAACTATCATCAAATTCACAAATTTATCTTTTTCTTTCACTTTTATAAAAAAACTCAAACTTCATCTTTTTCAACAATTATGGTTTTCTTCTTTGTTTTTTTTTTAAAATTACAAATTTTATCAATGCCAATAAGATATAAGTATTCAAGTTTGTAAACTTAAAACTAGAAAGAAGTGAAAAATATGAAATATAAATAAGATTTTGTTCTTAGTAATCCATCTACCGAAAGTGTAATTGTAAGATCAAGAAAAAACCGAAGTTGAGGATAAATTTATCTAATAAACCAATTTAGAATTATGTGCCTAGCTACTTTAAAATACATATTCCGGACCAGTTAACTTGCAAAAATCATTTGACGACCTTCCCGATTGAAATTTTTGCTGAAATTTGGTATGGATGAACTAGACTTGATGAGGAACATACACAAAAAATTTGAGCAAAAAATAACACCGGAATATTTTGACCGGAATTCCTGATGACCGGAATATTCACTACAACAAAAAAGACCTTTTGTAACACTTTATTTGCAACATAATTTTTTGTGTTACATATAACACGTAGGTGTAAAATCTTGCAACATTTACTTACAAATGTTGCATAATAATCCGATTTTTATAATTAGGCAACAGTTATTAAAAAATATTGCATATTACTACTATTTATGTAACACTTTCGTTTCAAATGTTGCATTAAACAAGAAATAAAATGACGGGGAACCATGTTTATGTAACGATACTAAAGAGTGTTTCATATGGTTTCGTTCAATTTATTTTAATTCAGACCTCTATTCCCGCTTCCTTTTCCCGCTACTAAAAACATTTTCCCTCGCCCTAATCCCTAAACGTTATCTCTACTTTCGATCCTCCCACCGCTTGCGCCCTATTCCCTAAAAGCAGTCCGCCGCTATCATACAATCAGTGCTCCAGCGGTCCAGCCTAATAGCAGTCCGCCGCTATCATACAACCAGTGCTCCAGCCTAATAGCAATTCGCCGCCGCTATTCTCTTCCAATCCAGGTTTCACGAACTCCATATTTCTCGTGTCTCTTAAATCGCACCACGCTCTGTTCTAATCCAGAGTAGTATTAGGTATGGTTTCTACTTCATATTTTGATGTTAAAATTAGATTCCAGGAGATTACAATTGGATTTTTTTGTTAAACCTAGAATTAGTGACGTCCAAATCTTATATTATTGGAATTGTTTGAGATTTGGGTATTGTTTGTAGATAGTGGCGTTTGATTTTGAGTGCATTTGAGTCTTGTTTCAGATCTGATGTTAAAATTAGAATTTTCGTAGGTATTATTGTTAAGATTGCAGCTATGTTCTAAGATTATCCCAACTATATTATTATCGGTAGTTTTTTTTCCTCTTTTCAAATACTATTTTATTAATTTTCAATGAACTGTCATCTCCTTGGAGGCCTTCATGATACTATGTTCTTCCTAACGTCCAGGCACATCTATTATCCAGGTTTATATTTTTTTCATAATGCTATTTTATTTATTTAAATTCTTTTTCAGTTCACCTTATCTATTAATTAGCATGTGTCAGTTTATATAGATTTTGTGTATGTATATGATAATCTCATCATTTTATTATATTTTTGTAGATTCTATATTGTGTCTTATATTGTGTGTAGCTTTAGTTTTGGCTAAATTTGATGTATTATGCAATTAATTATTTCAGCCTTGGTTTAGTTTTCAGACTTATTTTGATTAATTGATTATTCATAACACAAACCATTAATTTATGTCACATCCTCTCTCAGTTGCTTAAGGTGGGAATCTGATAAAAGTTATAATTTTCTCTACTTAATCAATACTTGTTGACAAAGTTAAACACTTGTTTTTGATTTACGGATTCTCATTAGTGATTTTCCCCGGAGTTCTGAGTTTTTGAAGGTTTTTAATGGTTGAGAATGCTGGAATTTGCACTAGCTTTAGAGTTCTAAGGCATGGCAGTTTAACTTTAATGTTTTAGTTTTGGTGAATTTTGTTAAAAAGCAGTTTGAAAGAGTGGGTTTTGACTTCTGAGGCATGGCAGTTTAACTTTAATGTTAAAATTCTAAGGCATCACAGTAAGTCAGTTGCTCCCAATAAGGCAGTTTAAATTTAATGAGAGGAATTTGCATGCTTTTAGTGATTTTTAAAAGAGTTGGTTCCTAGTTTTGGTGTTCATGGTTTAATTTACAGGTCTGCAACTTTAATGTGTTGTCATTTATTAGACTAAGTTGTTATATTTTCATGCCCCGATGTTTCCTCTCCTTTTCAAAAATGAACATTCGGTTTTTAAAAAACCCGAAAAAAAATCAAAACCGAAACCAACCGAATCAAACAAACCGTGGTTGAATTTTTTTATCAAATAAACCAAACCGAACATTTTCCTTTGGTTATGCGTTCGGTTTTAGGTGAAAACTGAACCAAAGCAACCAAACCCACCCCTGCTATAAACCCTCCTCCAGGTCATACCTCCAATAAGCAAATGAATAATGTCACTCAAACATATTACTTTTGAACCTTCACACTTATAAACATAAGGTGTTATCATCCAAAGAAAGTAAACATATTAGCTTTTAACTAAGCAATCAAAAAATTGAGTAAAATAAAAACGATAACAAAATAAAGGCAAATAATTTATTAAAACTTTTCTAGTAAAATTAAGAGAAAAAATAGATTGGCAAAAAAATTAGCACCTAAAGCTAGTGGAGCAGGGTTGATAAGTACGGTCACTCAAAGCTTTTCAATTTTTCATTACTGCCCTCTTTTGTCTCTAGATTTGTTAGTCACATCTTCTAAATTCCATGATTTTCATCATCCTCACTCATAATTCTACGAAAATTAAAAAAACCAAAAAAAAAATAATAGTCATTAGTCACAATACTCGTAATATTCTTCATTGTTACTTTTAGTTAAATGATAAACAAAGTATTCTTTTTATGAAAGGGAAAAATAAGTACACTAGCTAGCTTCGATTTGGTTCAAATACTATGTATGCTAAATCACTTATTCTTTATTTGACTAGATGTCCAAATCTCCCCCAATAACAGTATATTTGAGACTTTCCTTTAGTAAAAATATTTATATGTGAATCAATAACAATATCCTATCTAACTTGGATATACCTTAGTAGTGCTTCATAATTTGATCAAGGTAGAGGTGTTACTAAAATCTCAGGTATTCAGATGGTAAGAAAGTAAATAATAAAAATAACAATAATAATTCCATTATGTGCTCTCCATTTCATAGTACAGATAGCTTCAATACTTGCTCTGTTGTTTGCTTTTCATGTGATGTTGTTTCATTCCATCTATTAATGCAAACAATAATAGTTTTTGCTAATTTAATCAGTAATTGAGTCTTACAGAAATATTATATATAAATTGTGTTTGTGAGTTTCTTCTTATTGTTGTGCAGTTTTTTTACAGAGTTCATAATGGTTTTGATTTTTTTCTTTTTTACTTCCTTTGATGAGAACTTGAATTTAATTACTTTTATATACATAAGAAATATTTGTGACTGGTTTATCTTATGTGTTTTTTATTTTATCTAATTTATTGAAGTTTAAGGTAATGGAGAGGGATAGAACTTGGATGTATACACGTAGACTTTCATTAGAATTCAAGACTGGTTTGGCCAATTTCCTTGACAAAGCTTTTGCTAAAGTAGCTCGTGGGGGTCAAATTCCTTGCCCATGCAAAGAGTGTAAAAATCGTTATTGGTATCGTAGAGATGAAGTGTGGAATCATGTAATAGCAAAGGGGTTTGTGGAAAATTATTTCAAGTGGAACTTTCATGGAGAGGGACCTATGTTTGTTGATTCAAAGGGTCTTGAGAATGAAAGTGATACAGTTTTGCCTGACAATATTAGTGATCTCTTAGAAGACAGATTTAGAGGGCTTCATGAAAACGAAAATATAAAGGGGATGAATGAAGATGCAAAAAATTTTTATAGTTTGTTGGAGGAGGGAAAGAAAGAATTGTATCCCGGATGTAAAAACTTTACAATTCTGTCTTTCACAATTCGTCTTTTACTTTTCAAGACAACTAATGGATTGAGTAACACGGCATTTTCTGAACTATTACTGCTGTTCAAAGAAGTAGTTCCTGATGGAAAATTTCCGGAATCCTTCAATGAAGCAAAGAATATGGTAAAGGATATAGGGCTTCATTACCAAAAAATACACGCGTGTCCTAAAGATTGCATGCTCTTTTGGAAAGGAGATTCTGATCTAGAATCATGCCCAAAATGTCATACCTCCAGGTGGAAGTTGAAAGATGACAAAAACCCCAAGGGTAAAGGGAATGTTCCAGCCAAGGTTTTGTGGTACTTTCCATTAAAACCAAGATTAAAAATGTTGTATATGTGCTCAAAAACTGCTGAACAAATGATGTGGCATGAGACAAAACGTCCTAATGATGGTAAGATTAGACATCCCGCTGATGGTGAAGCTTGGAAGAAATTCGACTCATTGCATCCTAATTTTGGAAAAGAAGGTAGAAATGTGAGGCTCGGCCTTGCAAGCGACGGTTTCAATCCTTTTCGAACAATGAGCATTGCTCATAGCACTTGGCCAGTGGTGTTGGTCAATTACAATATTCACCCTTTATTTTCCATGAAGTCAGAAAACTTGATGTTGTCTTTATTGATACCAGGACCACACTCTCCGGGAAATGATATTGATGTGTATTTGCAGCCATTGATAGACGATTTGAAAGACTTGTGGAGTGAAGGTATAGAGACATATGACAAATTCAGAGATAGTACATTTAAATTACATGCTGCGGTGCTATGGACCATAAGTGATTTTCCAGGTTATTCTATGCTCTCGGGATACAAAACAAAAGGTAGATTTGCATGCCCGGAGTGTAATTATGATACACCTTCAGTGTATCTCAAACATAGTAAGAAGACAGTTTACATGGATCATCGTAGATATCTAGCCCCAAATGACCCAAAGAGAATTACAAGGGCATCAGTTGAGAAGAGGTCTGCTCCAAAGCCCTTAACTGGATTCGATATCATGGAGGAGCTATCTTCATTTAATAATGTGTTTGGAAAGTCACACAAGAAGAAAATGAATAGTAGTTGTGCTTGGAAGAAAAAGTCAATATTCTTTGAACTACCATATTGGAAGTTCAATGAATGTCGACATAACCTAGATGTAATGCACATAGAGAAAAATATATGTGACAGTTTGATCGGAACACTATTGGACATCCCTGGGAAAAGTAAGGATCACACAAAAGCACGGTTGGACCTCATGGAATTAGGTCTTAAAAAAGACCTACAACCTGTTCTTAGTGATGACGGAAAGCATATTATTTTGAAAAAGGCACAATTTTCACTTTCTGCCAAAGAAAAAGAGTTGTTTTGTGTTGCTTTAAAAGGAGTAAAACTACCTTATGGTTGTGGATCACATATTGCGCGTTGTGTACATCTTTTAGAGAAGAAAGTCTCGGGTTATAAGAGTCATGATGCTCATATTATGCTTCACTTCTTGCTCCAGGTGGCAATAAGAAGAACACTGCCCAAGCATGTTGCCATTCCATTAATTAGGCTTGGTTCATTTTTTCAAAAAATTTGCAGTAAAGTTTTTTTACCAGAAGAGCTTGATCAATTGGAGTTAGAAATCAAGGAAGTTTTGTGTGATCTTGAAAACATTTTTTTGCCATGTTTTTTTGACATAATGATCCATTTGCCCATTCATTTGGTAAGAGAAATTAGGCTTGGTGGACCAGTTCCATATCGTTGGATGTATTTTATGGAGCGTTATCTTTGCAAGTTGAAAACATATGTTCGTAATAGAAGTCGTCCAGAGGGTTCTATAGCAGAAGGGTACCTTATCGAAGAATGTTTGACATTTTGCTCTCGCTATTTACATGATGGTTCGAATAGAAAGCTACATAGTGTCTCTAAGGATCTGGATGCCAATACAGACTTCACAATATTTAACGTGACTGGTTATCCACTTGGTGGAGTTAAAAGAAAAAAGGGAAAGCTATTCACCTTAGATGATATCACGTCTAAGCTTGCACATCGTTATGTTTTATTCAACTCAGATGATGAAGAGATAGAAGAGTTGGTCCGGTAAGAGAATGAATGCATCATATCATGCTATTTATACATACTAACTTTATTATCTTAACATATTATATCTTTTTTGTGTATAGAAAACATCAGGATCAAGTGCGTAGAGACAAAAAACGAAGTAGGTGGGCACAAGAATATAATCATAGTCATGAATTCACAAACTGGCTAAAGGATAATATAGCACATTACTCCGTGTCAGACAACTTATTTTGGTTAGCAAAGGGACCATGTCCTAGTGCGAAGAGATATACCGGATATTCTGTGAATGGGTACCACTTTTATACAAAAGATCGTGATGAAAGATGCAATACTCAGAATAGTGGAGTAACTGTAACTGCCATGACAAACAGTTTTGCAAGTTCTAAAGACAAGAATCCCATCACTGGTGATGTCGTCTACTACGGTGCAATACTAGATATAATTGAATTAAATTACTGGTCAAAGTTCAAGATTGTGTTGTTCAGATGTGAATGGTACCAAACCGAAAAAGATGAATATGGGCTTACATGTATTAACTCCACAAAATTTTGCTCGTCAGATGATCCATTTGTGATTCCTTCACAAGTACATCAGGTGTTTTATGTGGCAGATCCCGTTTATAATGAGCTATCATACGTTATGGAAAGAGTTCCTAGAGGTTTCTTTGATTCGGAGACACAAATAAATGAAGATGATGAAATTACCTACTGGAAAGAGCCTATAGATCATCGAGCTCAGAATTTCCCATATGTTTCCAGTGATGATATTAATGGAGCCAGAGAAGATCTTGATCCAACTATACTTGATGCTCAAGTTGAGACAGTAAATGTTGGACAATCAAGCACGGGCATCACAAGTGAATCCGAAGAAGAAGAAGAAGACGATGATACACTATGGGATTGGATGCATGCTAGTGATGAAGAGCAATAACTTTATTCTACTTTTCATTGCTTTTTATAACATGTCCATTGATTTTTCCTTGCGTTGTTATTTGTTTGAAACTGTTTCTTAAATGATTTGGGTTATTTATTAATTTATTCTTGTTTTAATTTGAAAAGTTGTATCCCTTTGGTGTATTTTGATGCATTCATTATTTTTTCTTATGAAGTATTACTTTTATGATTGTATGGATCAAAGCATCTCTTTAGACGGTATGTTCACAAGGAGGGTTACTGTTGGGTCCTTCTCTGTTGTAGGTTTTACTTTGTGTATATGAGTGTTTTCTTTAGATAATGTACTGATACATATAACTTAAAAAGTGTTCCAGCTGACATATCTTATTTGTGATTCACAGAGACATGGACAAAACAAAAAAGCATAATGTGCCAAGGAATTTAGCATCAAAGCGAACATCAACTACATTTGGAGACAATATGTCAGAATATGAGAAACAACGTTTACTCAGAGTTCGTGAGAATAAGGAAATGATGCTCAAATTAAAACTTACTGATATATGTTCTTCACTATCAAGTATGGTGGATAGTCAGAACGGGAGAAAGAGAAAAGAGAATCTGAGGAATGATCCTAATTATGTTCCTACTGCTGAAGAAATTACTTCATTAGAGATGGTTGAAGGTGCAAATGTTCTCAAAAAGGTACACTTTACATATATTTGATGTTATAATGTGTTACTTAAACATAGTAATGGTAATGTTTTCAATTTTGTAGAAAAAGCAACAGTATATCGCACCCCAGTCACTCACTAGAGTTCTAAGGAATAAACAGCCTCAAGGCCTACCAAAAAGTGATTTAAAGGTGCAAAATCAATCTGCAAAAGAAGTCACAACACAGAAGAACAAAAACAAGGGTCCACCCAGAGATGCAGTTATTAATATGGCTGAGTTTTTAAGATACAAATCTCAAGAGGAGAACCAGGAACCACAATTATCGCCAGAAAATGAAGGTTCAGTTTTAATACTTTTTCTAGATTCCTATTTTATTGCTTTTGAATTCATAAATATTTAAAGATTCACACATGATAATATAGTGCAAGGACAAATGGATTTTAGTTCATGGGAAGATGATGACATTTTTGATAGCATTGAGTCAGACAGTGCACAAGGTATGAATTTCAAGTTTTATTTTATTGTTAATCAATTGGCCTATCAATTATAACCTAAGTACTTTGTGTAGGTGGAAATAAATCTAAAGAAGGGGATGATGATGATGTTATGATGGATCAATTCGTCGAAGAAGACGAGAATGAAGATGATTTTATAGAACACGGTCAATTAATTGGAGATGATGATGATGATGTTGAGGTAAACGGTAATGAAATGCATGAAGGATCAAGTAAGTGCATTTTCTTTTTTTCTTCTAATATTTTATGGTTTCTCTTCTTCTTCTTCTTGGCATTAAAAATTGCATTATTCAGTTAATTTTCATCAATATATTTGTTTCCTTGATAAAAATTTTATGATGTATTTTACAGATGTTGTGGCACACGAAAGAAAAAAAAGAGGTCCTACAATGATGCATGCAGTACACGTGAGAGAACATCGTATATCCATCATATTAAATAAATTTGGACAACCTATTGGGCCCGATAAAGCCGCACTGGATCAGTTTTCATCATTTTTGGGAACGGTGGCTCGTCATTATGCCTTTGCTCCACTAGTTACTCCAACGTGGACCCGTGTAGAAAACAAAAACAAGATGTGGGAATATGTATTGGTATGTTATGGTAATAATCAGATATTATAGTATATCAAATTGCATATTACTAACTTCTCACTATTATTCTTTTTTCAGTCAAAATATGATGTCCCCATACATGGAAAAAAATGGGTCTTAAGTACAATGGGGTCTGCATGGAGGGTACACAAGTGTCGATTCAAGGAAAAGTTTTGCAAAACATATAAGGATAATATGACGAGATGGCGCCACCGCCCAAAAGACATTCCCCAAAGTGATTTTCGAGCTCTTTTAAAGCGATGGAATTGTAAAGATTATCAAGTACGTTAAATACATATAAATGCGTATCTCGATTTCCTAATATTTTACACTATTTAATTATAAATAAATATTTTGTTTCTAGGCAAAATGTTCCCGTAACAAGCGCAGTCGTAGTTTCCAGAAGGACAATCACACAGCTGGTCGTGAGTCTTTTGCGAGGATTCGGGAAAGATTGGTATTTAGAGTACATATTTATATATATTGAGTTTTAATTTAAAAGTATACATAACTGTTTTTTTACCCAGGAAACTACCCTTCCAAATTGTAATGACATACCTTTGTCAACTATGTTTGAAGTCACACGTAAAAGGACTGAGGGCCGCAACTACAAAGAGTGTAATGAAGATACTGCTGCAAAAGTGGTACGTCTTATGTGGTCTTATACTTTTGAATCATAGTCATTGAAAGACAGTGTGGTGAGTTGTTAGTTTTGATTTTTTTAATCAATTGTGAAGCAGGGTTGTTAATACAGATTTTCATTGCTTAATTGCATATATTCTTAGATGTGATAATTTTTGGTGAAATGCAGTACTTGTATTACAGATTATAGTTTTGATTTTTTAATCAATTGTGAAGCAGGGTTGTTAATATAGATTATCATTGTTTAATTGCATATATTTTTAGATGTGATAATTTTGGGTGAAATGCAGTACTTGTATTACAGAGTATCTACTACAAGGTGTAACAACTTGTATTTGATGTTGTTATATACGAGGTTACTGTTCTACTAATAAATATTAGATTGGTTATTTTGATCCTATGTGATTGCCTAGATTTTTGAGCTGTTTTGGGGTGTTGAATATTTTGTACTCTTGTATACAGAATGTCGTTTTATAAGTTCTTTACAAACTAGTAAGTGCAGCTTTGTTGCTGCAAATTTGTGCATGCAGTTTCTAAGTGATGTTGCCACTGCAAAATAGTGTAGTTTTTGTGTAGTTTTGAAGTGCAACTTTTAAGTGTAACTATTAACTTTGCAACTTATATTCCCAGCCATTTTTATTATTTGTAGGCCAAAATGAAGAACTATGAGGCACAGAATAAGGATGAAAGTGGTAGTGCAATAATTGATGGATATTCATTTGTTATGTCAAAAGAGGTTGATGGTCGTCCGATAATGTGTGGCAGAGGTGTGACCAAGAAAGATATCTCCAAAGTGAAAGATAATCCACAATCACATGTTGCGACTCCAAATGACATGGACACCGTAATAAGTGATTTGAGAAAAGAGATTGAATTAGTAAATGAGAAGAAGAATGCTGAAATGGAACAAATGCGCAAGGAACGTGACGCTGAAAAACGAAAGATGGATTTAATTTTGTCAAAACTTGCTACTTTGATTCCAGATCTCGATTCTGCTTTACTTGAACTATAGATTGGTCTGAAAGACACGCCAGACATAGGTAGTTGATTGAACTTCGCAATGTTTGTGAATTCCTATTTGACAGATACCTTATATCTTGTATTCTTGTACTAATTTATTCTTTTTCTCTGTGATGCAGGGAAGCACCATAGACACGACCAGTGGTGAAGATTGCAGTTTACTAGCGGCACTAGAATTTTATAGATTAGTTGGATATTCTTTTTGTCTATTTTTTGTTGAGCACGTTTGACAATTTTTTTTGGGTACTTCGACATTATGATGGATTATTTGAAGATATTATTAAGTTTTATTTGAATAAAATATTCCTCCAAGGAAAGCTTATAAATGTTGTGATATATTTCAATATAAATATATTTATAAGATTTTGTATTATGCTTGCATGCCGCATAATTTATAAATTGATACTATATATGCTAGTAATTAAAAAAAAGATGCTGATACTTAGAAGTATGTATATATATATATATATATATATATATATATATATATTGAAAATGCGTTAAAAAAATAATGTTGCATAATCTTAATAATGATGTTACTTATAAGTCTCTAAAAGTGTTGCATGAAATAAAAAATGTTACCTAATCTTTTCAATTAACCGTTGCATATTGTGAATGAATGTTGCTAAAGTACAAAACCACATGTTACGTAAACCTTATAAAGTGTTGCGTAAAGTAACACTTCAAATGTTGCATTTTACTAGAAAAATGTTGCATAAGATTCAAGGTAAAGTGTTGCAAAAAAGTGTTGCATATGTAATACTTATGCAACACTTCAATACAATGTTACTTATTACAATGAAAAGTGTTGCATGTGACCTTATGCAACGAGATCTGATGCAGCATCCTTGAAAATGTTGCATTAACTATTTTCTAACATTTTATCTATGTGATGTGACATTTTTCACGTGTTACATAATGTTCATTTTGTTGTAGTGATTTGTGGGTGTGTGTGTGTGTGTATGATCTCTTACAACATGAACATTTTTTTTGTTATATACGATAGTATTATATTTGTTGGCATATGTCATTTTTATTGCGGGTATACCCGGCCCGGATCCGAGACCCGCCGGATCTAAATGTGGAACATATGTTTAGGACCTGAAGGGTAAATGGGTCCGGATCTGGACAAAAAAAAATCAACGGATATGGATATGGAATTTATAGTTCCGGCCCGTATCCGAGCCGTTGACAGGCCTACTCCCATATAATTAATAAGTTAACGTAAATATGAAAAATAAAATTATCTTTTTAATTTGTAGTGAATAGTGTTATCCTTAGTTCTTTAACGTTCTTTTAGAGTTGCAACATGTTGATTTACACGTTTGCCAACACACATTTTGATTTCAATTATATTTAATTACGTATTAGTAAACATTAAAAAAAGTTAATATTTTTTTTTTGAACAAAAAAAAATGTTAATATTTTAGAAATTTACAATAATTGAAATTTAATAACATTTGATATATACTCCGTAATAATTTGATTATATTGGAAAATCGTAGTCAAAGTAGGATATATGAATAGTCTCAAAATCCAATTTTACAACTTTAAGGAAGTACTCCGTATTAATTTAACATTCAGTGATCAATAGAGTTAAATTTTTTAATCTCTTGTTGTGTAATCAACTTTCGTTTATCAATTTTTAGGATTTAATGCACTGAACCCCTCGTGATATAGAAAATCAGCGCATTAGCCCCCTGCGATTTGAAAAATGCGTCAAACCCCCTTGTGTTTCAATCAAACATGCATAGAAGTATAGAACCTCTTTTATGAATAAATTTAACAATTTGGAAATGACTTTTTCTAATATTCTGATTGAATATGCAAGTAAATATGTCAATATCTCTAAATCATACGTAAATGTTAATCTTGTTTCTTTTATTTGAAAATTGAATTTGTTTATATAAAGGATTTTGCGCATAATTAATTAAAATACAAGGGGGTTTGACGCATTTTTAAATCACAGGGAGTTAATGCACATTAACCCTGTGAAGAGTGACTAGAGTAGTAATGTCACATTGTAGTCACTGTATTTATAAGGAGCGAGTTCAATTGTTATATTATTTCGATTAAACCAGTAAATTTCTATTGCATCATTGTTTTAATAAATTGTACTGTATTTGTTATTAGTCATCTAAAAAAGTTGTAATTGGACTTTAATGGAATAGAAGGAACATTGTTTTGCATCCGGTTTTGTTCGACATCCAACTATACCTTCATTACTATTCTTTTCCAACGCCTAAAAAGTCCTACAACCTCCAAATAACTTATAGCCTAGCTTATAGGGGTCAAAATTTGAGTTCTGGTAATTAATGATCCGAACTTAGCTTCTAAAGTCTTCTAGGCTAGTCAGCGAGCAACAGCTCAGCAACCGTCCAGACAAAGATTTTCGAATTTCGAATCTTGATTGTATATATAGATATGTTCACGATTGAATTATGTGTCAAAAATAGTAATTCTCATGATTGAATGTGACTACCTTTCAAAAAAAATGATTGAATGTGACTAAATCAATACTAATAGTTGAAATATAGCACTCCCTACTACGTACGTAAGAATTAAATCAACAAAACCCGCACGACTAGTTGAGTTGGCTGAATTCAGTGGTAAAAAACTTGGAACAATGATCAAGATTTAAATCCCGCAACGACCGTTTGAAGGTTATAGCTCCTACGTGGGCTAGATCAATATCTGGTGCGTACGGGTATAAAGTCTACCACTATTGGATTGACTGAGTAATGTGACTTACTCTTCCACCATTTATGTCGGGTCGGGGCGAAGATTCAAATTAGTTTTTTTTACTGCTTATCATTATTTGCTTTATTTAAAAACTACTATGCTTATCCTCCTGAATATGATCATTTGTAAAAAAAAACACGAAAAAAGATTTTGATTCTTTTATTTTAAGATACACCCAAGAACGTAAGGCTCCATTTCGCATTTATAGGTAGACAATTCTTCTTGATGTTTAGCTATGCAATCACGGTGAACTAGAGGCGAGGACAATCATTGCAGACCGTAGGTGATTTCCTGCGACATCCAGTTTTACGCATGGAATACAGGGCCGGCATTGGACAAGGGCAGGCCGGGCTTGTGCCCCGGGCCTAACATTTACAGGGGCCCATAATTATATATAAATGGATAAATATAGAGAAGACAATTCATATCAGACCGATGTCATTTGGGGCCATTTATGGAGGAATTTTTTTATGAAACTTTTTTAGAGTATTTTTCATCAAGTGTAAATTACATTCACAAAATTTTAGTTTAAAAATCATCCGGAAAGTCAGTTAAATAAAATATTGAAACACACTGCGCTTTGTGTATATAAATAATGCGCACTATATTTCAATAATTTATTTAACTGACTTTCAGGTTGAATTTTAATCTGAAACTTTGTGGAGATATTATAGATTTCATGAAGAATATATTTAAAAAATTTCATGAAAAAATTCAATCGGGAAGGGCCTCAAATGGCCCCGGTCTGACATCATTTCCCGTTAGGCAGGCCTAATTTCAAGGTTTCATCTTTGGACTTTAATTCGTTTTGCTCAGCAATCAACACTCTCCTAATTTTCTCAAAAATATCTTCCAAATTTGAAATTTCAATTTCACAAGTAATTCTCTGCTTTTATTTTTTATTTTTTAATATAATTTTTATTCGTTTAGTTTATATATTAAGACTTTGATGAAAGACTCACATTACTTTGTATGTTGAAATTTGCGTATATAAAGTTAAGCTTTTGCAATATATTTATATAACCTTTTAAGGGCCTTCTTTTTTCAATCGCCCCGGGCCCATAAAATATCAGGACCAGCCCTGATGGAATATTGTATGCTGCAACTCGAGGGTGATATGTCTGTCTGGCTTAAAGTTCGTGGTGTGCCGATGAAAATTAGAAAAATGCAAAAAAAATGCTGTCTATAAAGAAATCTTCAATAATTTGTAAATTGTGCTTATTAAATGTCAATAAAAATTAGTTTAATCTATAGATGTGCTTATACATTTACAATATTAGTATACGCATTTAACACCCCGTGCAACGCACGGGTGAAATACTAGTCAATACTAATAGTTGAAATATAGCACTCCCTACTACGTACGTAAGAATTAAATCAACAAAACCCGCACGACTAGTTGAGTTGGCTGAATTCAGTGGTAAAAAACTTGGAACAATGATCAAGATTTAAATCCCGCAACGACCGTTTGAAGGTTATAGCTCCTACGTGGGCTAGATCAATATCTGGTGCGTACGGGTATAAAGTCTACCACTATTGGATTGACTGAGTAATGTGACTTACTCTTCCACCATTTATGTCGGGTCGGGGCGAAGACGATTCCACTTTTTTGGAACAGTGAATTAAATCACGAAAACAGTAAAAAAGAAAAGGATATAGCTAGGTATGCATGTGTGGTCACATTTTTGTAGAGCAGTAAGCTAAAAATGTGAATGGGAATAGGCTATAATCCCTCCTTTCTATCCTTCGTGTATATTATTCCATTTATTCAAATCATGCAACATATTAGTTAGGGAAAAATAATTAAAATACTCCAAACTTTGAAGGGGTGTGAGGTAAGCACCCCAAACTTGTATATGTAATTTAATTACCCCAAACTTTATATAAAAAGTTATTTTAGCACCATGGTCATATATTATTTCTTCAAAAAAAGTTATTTTTTTTGTGTTAATTTCATAAATTAAAATATTTTAGCATTCATGAAGATACAATTAACATTCTAAACTTTCATTATAAAATAAATAATACTACCGCCACTCTATATAATTGCATCATTTTTAATTTGCTATTTTAAATTATGCAATTAACCTCATAAATTTACATTTTTGAAAAAAATAATATATGACCATGGTACTAAAATAACTTTTTATATAAAATTTGGGGTATTTAAATTACATATGAAAGTATGAGGTATTTATCTCACACTTCTTCAAATTAAAGTTTGAGCTATTTTAATTATTTTCCCCTATTAGTTATTAGTATCATGTTTATTAAACCCTAAATAGGAGTAAATTTCTGCCAAGTTTGGCATTACAAGACTTTTAAACATGGTATTTTTTCCAAACTTGGCAAATTACTCCTATTCAGGGAATAAAAAACATAGATACTCCTATTTTAGAATTTCAAAACGTTTTTACTCCTATTTAGGGCAATTTCTGATTATTCATTAATATGTAATTATTTGAAGAAACAATTATTTACTTCCAAATATTCTCTTCGGCGCTTGTTTGAATTATATGGTATGTGCTGGTAAGAGTCTCTTTAACAAATCTAGAGAAAAGAGACAAATAA